CTCAACAGTCAGTTGTTAAGGTTTTGTCCGCAAGCTAGCGCTCAAGCATGCGAAATCAGTTGAATTTTTTGTTTGTTTTWACTATGGCTCCTTTTGATCATTTCGAATCCTTACGACATAAACATCTACTATTTTAGAACTTACACTAAGTACATACACTACATACTATCACCATCTCACAATACAAAACGCAAGCCCACCATCGTCACCAACAGCAACCGCCACGTGAAATTTGTTCGTGACGGACAGTGAAAACGGATATGATAACACAAAAACGTTGGACGAGACTTACGTTGTGCGTTGGCGCAGCTTGTTCGTAAATCTTGTGAAATGGTATCCAACCTTTCCTAAATCATATTATATAAAATACAAGCCATTAATAAGGGAGGATTAGTAGGGAATCGAATGGTCTTTGTGAGCACACGAGCAGTTTCTTCATTTTTGCAAGCATGAGCCAGAGGATTTCAGAAAGTACATGGCCTTTTATAAAGAACGGAGCATATGAGAATACGGACAACTGTGAGCAGTTCAGCAAAGGTCAAATTTTGCGAGAACATTACGCATTCAGCAATCTGCTCGAACTAAGAAACACAACATTGATGGAGTGGAACCAGGGGATTCTGGATGTCAACACTGTTAATGATGTGTCCTTTATTAGCTTTTAACATTCTAAAAGTTTCAGCAGCAACAGTATCTTCATTTATCTCTGTATGTCATTGACCACGAAAATAAATCTCATTTATACCTGTTTTCTTGTTCAGCAGTTTCTCCWACAATGACTTTAGTTTCCAAATCTGGAACCAATCCCGCCACCTTTGAAAACAAAATCCGTCTGATTGAACCTAGAAACTTACATCGGTCTCGAAATTCGAGATYTTTTTTACCCAAAAATCCACAACTTTAGAGTTATGTGATTATGTGTATCATTGTTCGAGTAAACGAAGAGTCGCCCGATAAAGTTACCTACTCAATTTATTTTGTATATATTTGCCGATGGAGAAGACCTTAATCGTCACGTGGGTGCTTTCTTGATTGATTATATCCGTACCTCATCAACTAGTTTAGCTGTCTCAGGATCCACTATTATRCACTTGGTCTTGGACACAAGTAATCTTGTTAAGATATCTTTGACTCTTAGTTGTGTGGTACCAGGTATTGACACACTACCTGAATGAACAAATATGACTAAATGTACCAATGGATACCACACAACCTTTCTCTCGCGTGATACTTACGAACGGTATGCGTACGTATTTGTTAACGTTATTGTTACGTAATTTCTTAGCAATTTATCCAACGTGCAATGCCCAAACAAGACATATAGGATTTTGTAATGGTCCCAATTCAAGGTAGCGTTACCGTTGAGCCAATCTCTGAAAAACGTTTATATCAAGATTGCTAAGACAGCGCGAAACCGAAATAAATCCTTAATATCTCATCTCTGAGCCCAACGTATGACCTTAGACCCCAAATTAAAGCTGACCCCTGACCTCTGACCCGATATTTCTCATGTAAGCGATTATCAGGGGCGTAGCGAGAATCTTAATCCGATATGATAATGATATCTATAATAATACGCGAGATTAGTCACCAGTTCTCATGCATGCAATGCTCGTCAGCCACCATTCTGGAACCTTGGGTAAGATRACCATAACACGATCTTTTCTTCTGACGTTACATTCTTCTGTTAACATGTTGGCTACCCTATAAGTACATTAAAATAACCCATCAATGCAGGAAACTTAGGGGTGGTCCCAACCTGGATCAATGCAAAGAATTTCAACATCTGCAAGCGTTTTTCAGTTTGTTTGTTTTTGTGTTCGTTGTTGCTTTTGTCGGTAGGTGATTTTACTTTCTAAGCGATATGAGACATGCATGTCAGTCAGTGCACTTTGCCAGCACCCCCTTATCATGGAATTTGTCCCTCTCACTTCTGTCTGTCTGTCTAATGATTGACATTTACCGTTTCGAATTGACTGACAGTTCATGGAAAGACCACTTTAATTCATTGCCATTCTCATCCACCCACCAAAACGCTGGGTTTTCTTTGGATCTCTCTCCTGACTAGTGAAAAAAAATAAAAAATAAATAAAAATATAATATAATATAACTCAACTATAAATCGACCATATGCTTGTAACTTTGATATTAGTCTTTCTTCTTTCAATTCTAGAGTTCGTCCATTTTTTTCGATCTTCCCTTTCCTTGCTTTAAGCGTCGGTTCATCGTTCAAATGGAGGCAAAAATTATTTTAAGAATCGAAAGATGTATAATCAAATGAAAGAGAAAATAGTATATTAAACTTCCTTGTTTCTAAACGGATATTGGATTTTCAAGTAAGCACATTAGAAAATAAAATGGAAATAAGATAGTATAGATAGGATATATAATATTTGTTATTAAAAAATATTAAATTCACTGTGAACTCAGTGTGCCACCATGCTGCTKGCCTCATGGCGCCTTACGTGACATTATTTACAAAACATGATAAACATGTACATGAAACGGTAATCCCTTGTTATAACACTAGTAATATACATACAACTTTTGAGACTTTTACAGTATCTATCCCATTTAGCTAAAAACACATTCTGTGTCTAAGATAATATCAAATTTTTGAATGTATCTTCAATAAATAAGCTGCACCATGTAGGCTTGAGTAGTGTGTAAAATTAAAAGATGAATATAACAATAAACTTACTTCGACCTTGCCAGCCCAGTCATCCAAAACATTWGCAAAGTTGAAAAACTTTGGCACCTCAACRCGATAATTCGACCACTCTTTCTCGTARTCAATGAACCCGACTTTCGAGTCAAAAACAGGTGGAGTTGAGGGGTGAATAACTTCGCAAAATCCTCGAGTAAAACAAGCTTGAATTGTTGATGATGACTKCTTGTGCAATGTGCGAGGRTACAGTCTAGAAATCCTACATTGGCTGATTCTAAGGTTCACTAGTCGCAGAGAAGGCATCGTACTTCTCTTATTTCACTTTGTTACATACAATATTAAACACATGTGCTTTGAACGAGTTAAAAACCAAGATTTCCAAGAACTACCTACAGCTGTTGTTTACATTCGGTTCGCAGGCGTCACACATCGACCTGTGTTCGTTGTGTGACTTGGTCCTCTGGCAGCACGTGACATATTAACAAGGGTCGAAGATCAAGTTTCCAGTCCAGACAAAACCCTTAAGATAGTACAGAGTGCAATAACAGAAATAAAATACGTAAACAGTTGCTTTTTTTTGTAAACGTAAAAATATATCGATTGAAATGATAAATTCTTGATTGTTCACACGTCAGTCATCCCTGACCATTGGCTCCATCCACAGCGTCATAGGAATTTGTCACCGATCAAAGCTTTAGAAAACTTCAAAAGAAAATTGTGTGGAAACAGGAAAACGGGACAGGGAGCCCGCCACTAAGAACGGCTGCGAGGAGACTACAGGAAAACGAGAATTGTTATAAAAACTTTATTGAATCAGATTCAAAAGGGTGATAGCTACCCCTTTTTTCTAAGGTTTCAAAACACTGAGAAATAGAAATCACGATGAGTTGGATGAATTTTTTTTTTTGATGAACACAAGGAGAAAACTTATTTAGATGTAATTCAGTAAATAACATTGATAACAGGAAAAAAAAAACATCGGGACTAGGATGACTATACAACTGAAGAAGCATTTATCTGCATGAAATCTCAATTTCCGCAGACGTAAATCTATCCTCTCGAGTTAGCGACCCCCATTTGTAAGGTCGTGGGTCGGCCACTGGATCGATCAGGACTGATTTACAACTAGGACTACATATGTAGCGAGAGCTCTTTATGCGATTCAGATTTCAAATGTATAAACTCGCTGTGGAAGTCTTTGTGTCAGAATGTGATGGCATTTTCTCGAGCAAAGGTCCAGCCAGAATGATTGGAAACCAACGTATATGAAAAGTGCAATTATTTAATTTCCTAATTTTGTTTGATCTAGAAAATGCCTGCCCTTCGTGGAACATTACAACAAGGCGAGTGAACGAATATTCAAGATTACATTGTCATATCGTCCAACAATATTCTATATCATAAATTTTCAGAGTAATCTGCGGCTTGAACATCAATATTTTATTGTGAATTTGATAAAGTGTTTTCACAATACTTTAATAAATCAATAATACTTTTTAGAACAAAACGCAACGGAATCTTTCCATTTGAAGAAAAAAAATAGAATCATTTCTCATTCCATTCCTACTCTGCCTGAGATCCTGAGATCGAGGCTCAGGGAAAAATCCAAATGTCGTGTACGCTTCGCGCAGCCAGGTAGTGACATATCCTATTTGTTGGCCTAGTTTGCGCCGCATCACTGTCAAATCCAAGAGGTTTCTTCATTAGTCATTAGAATTAGTTGGAAAAAGCTGCATGCTATCTGCTTTTTCAAAGAAATAGCTAACAAATTATCCAGTTTTTTTCTTTTTCTTTTGTTTTCTTTCACTTCTTTACTGATTGGATGAAAGAAAGTGAAAGAACATCTACAATGGCGGAACGCTTCCACTTCAATAGCTTTCTTCAAAGTTTAGAGTTAGTTGTYAGAAGCCGCATGTCATCCAAGCTTTTGCGCAGATAGGCAGCAAAATGTCCTGAATTCGTTGTTGGGTTGCTGTTGTAAGATGTGATACCAAGGAGTATCTTGTCGTCTTTMGGGTTGTAGCATATTCCATAACCATCGGGTACAGCAGGCCCGAATATCAAGTAACTGTCTTCTTGGAATGGAACCTATAATAATAAAATTGTTTTATAAATTGGAGTTTCATGAAATGGTAATCTACAGAGAGCATCCATCAACAACATGCGAAAGTATAATGTTGCGGCTGGGCTTTCATGAAAGTGATAGAGTCAATTCACTGGTACCATGAAACATAATCAAAGAAGTAGTAATTATTAGTTTTTATATACTGACTAATTGTATTTAGTATAAACATACTAATGGTCTATCACTCATACTGCGCTGTGATTGGCTACTCTAGTAATGGTCTAATTTGTGATAGACCACTCGCGGGAAAATCAAAATAAATAAATTATAAATTATATATATAATATCAAAGAGGCAAGATTTTTGCTGTTACTCCGAGTTTCGTGCTACGAAATGATAAACATTCCTATAATCTAGATATATATACATGGTATAGAACAAAAGGCTAAGTGCTAGGCTATTTACATACAATACGTGATAGTTATGTTGGAAACAATAGGTGTGAAGGTAAAAATTACAAGGAGAGTATACTATTAATTAAAACTGCGTAGGTGTGAATACAATAGGCTGTAGAGGTGTCAAGTGTTCTTCAGGTAGAATTTGTTTTTTTTGGGATCAGCTACTTCCTCATACAATTATACAATTAAATTATAAATTATAAATTATTTTAAGGATATTTCAATTTGTTTTCATAGTTTGACCGATTAGTATGTTTATACTAAAACATTTAGACCTCTCGGCCTCATGGGCTATTAGCTCGTAGTCCACTCGACCTCGAGGTCTAATTGTTAACAACTCATGAAAACAAAAGGTAATACACAATCGTCGATTTTAATGGCCCTATTGCATAATGACGTCACAGCATGTGTAWAATGAGAATAAATACCCAGAATTAGTGGAAATTTGGATTATTCTCTCTTTCAATTTTATCTAGTTAGTCATATATAACATGTATCAATGATTGCGCGCTCGAGTACATTTTCTTTAATAAGCAGTCATTATGTCTCTCTTGCGAACATTGTCTTTAGCGTTCAAACAGGTGAATGTCTTGGTGTGACGTAATTGTGCAATACGGTAGTTATTGCTGTTGTTGCTATTGCTAGTGTTCCCGCTGTACAGTAGAGTAATGTAGGCCCTTTCTCACCTGACTTGTTGATATTTTAAAATGCAAAGAGTAGGAGTAASTGCTATCCATAAACAGATCAGGTAAGGTGATCCCTGATTCAATGGCGATCATTTTCAGACCAAGAAGATGTCTGTCAATTCCTTGTCCACTTATCGCCTGTAATAGAATACAATAACAAACTATAAAATCAGAAAAGCTGAAAATTGTTTTGGCTTTCCACATATATACGGTTCCTTGCAACTGTTTCATTCGGAACACCAACGAAAGACCACCGAACGAGTATCGATGGGGGACAGTTTTTTTACGTTTTTCGTCGTTTACGCTGCTGACACTTATATTCAACGCCAGTTATTTCCTTTTATTGTTTGGGTTATATATTTCCTATAATTTTGACAGTCCCATGAAATATGAGAATTTTTGGTCGGATTTTGGTCTTCCTGCCAAGGTGAGGATTCTTGGTCGTGATACGAAGGTGTTTGGGAGTTACAATAGTGCTGTACATACCTCTTTGGTGTACTGGCTGTGCGCACCGATGGCCTCACGCATCAATTTAAGCCTATCCGCATTCTACATGAAAAACAAAACTCCTTTACGATAGTGACAAAGATAAGCAATGTCGTGCTGTAACATCAAAGTACAACCTAAAAGATTGTATTGTGATATTAGACGAAATGAAGTGAAGATATGGAAAATTGATTGATAGCTCTTGGCCAATCAAAAACAAGTATATGAGATGTTGGGGTCAAAATTTCTACCCTTGGACTGCATATAAATCGTTGCCTCATCAAAAGGGTCTAATCCCTTAGCAACTCTTTTCAGTTCGCACACCTCATATATCATTCAATAGTTAATAACGATGATTATTGTAACGACAATTATCAATTAATATTAGTTACTGTTAATGAAGCGTCAGCCATTCCCTGTACGAACTTCAAGGTAGGAACAGACGCAGAACGTATCGTYTCGGTACGTCCACGAAAGAACTTTCTTGTCGAGCCTGTCTCGTACGCTGGTCCAATACAACCATGTAACCTGTAGGGTTGTGCAAAGAAAAAAAATCTTAATTAAAAAAAAACATTAAATAATGCAACCTCGTGCTAAGAGCTTCTCTGCTTGTTTTTTTTAATAGCGCACAGAGGCACAGGCAGCCCACACCCTTGTTTTTTAATAGCGCACAGAGGCACAGGCAGCCCAACCCCTGGGTTCCCGAGTATATGCGGAAAACCTTCACGGCTACTATTACCTGTAATGTGTAAGCTGGAAAGATATCTGTATCCAAGCATCGGGACTCAGTTTTTGTCCTTTGATGAATTTCTTGCCGTAATGATCGAATTTAAAACAACGCACATCAGTGTCATCAATCAAACTGTTAACAAGAATAGTCGGAGTTCGATCACAGATATCGAAACAAATGGATTGCAATGCCGCTTTAAATGTACATGGTCCACCAGCATTCAATGCGGTCGTGTTTTAGATTTTTCATGGAAAATGAGGTGAATTCGAATATCCAGTCGCAATCTGTTTCCATCCATCGGTTTGATGGTCGAATCATAAAGAACATGTATCTCCATTCATATAGTATAAAAGGATAATAAACAGTACGTCTTTTGCTTATATTAATTACGTCGTAATTACGATGTATTTTTATTTTCAAACATGAGCAAAAGCTCGAAAGGGATGCTGGTGGACCATGTCCCTTTAAACACAGTCCGAATAATAATTACATGGTGGTCGCGGTTAAGTTAAAACAATTCTGAGTTTACCTTTCAATATTGTACTTGGCATTTTCTATAGCTTCTAATGTAGTTTTTTGCAAGTTCCATTTGAGTTTTACCGGAGTTTCAAGATGGTTAGTAGCTGTACTAGGGGTGATGGATTCAAAGCCGTGCCTAGAAATACAGAAGAAAACTAGTAAGAATGAAATCCTTCGTCCGTGACTTAATCATTTATTCATATTTATTATTTTTTTCTGTTTTGCATCCTTTCGTACCAATGGCCGCCGGCCGCTCATAGCTGGATTAACTTGCCAGGGGCAATTATTGTAATAAAAGATAAAGACTCCAATACCACTTTCTAATTTCAAAGTCAATCACGAAAAATAAACTTTTTGTGTTTCATTTTGTTGTTGTTGTTGTTGTTGTTGTTGCTGTTGCTGTTGTTGTTGCTGCTGTTTTTACGAAACTGTTTTGCTTGAGTTAAAGAACTCTAGGTTCTTAAATGCTGACCTTACTGCGTTATGTATTAAGAACCCTTTTCAGTTTACCTCTTCTCTAAAACGAAATCCCACAGACGGCCAACAGGTGGTGCTTCAGCGGGTGTGTGCTCGTAAAGACAGCCACAGTGTCCATCTTCACTGATACAGAACTGACAAAAAAAATCAATCAGTCTGTCAATCAAACAATTTGTCAATCACAGCTTTAATAAACCAAGCAATAAGATAACGAAACCACTGAGTAATTACTTCGTAACATATTCTTATATAAGAGCATGAAAGAAAGAAGACGCGCTTATAGCAAAAACATAAATGTTCAATAGTGCCGTCATTGACCACCAGTCTTTGTAAAAGTCCCCCAAACAGTCAAATTTACAAGGATAGGTACAGTATTTGGTCATCCAACAGTACAATACCACGAGTATTAACCTCTAATGACTAATTCTTTATAACTTACATTCAAAGTTTTATCAAACCATCGGTTCATGCTATTGGATCCCACGCCATCACCATGAAGGCTTTGTCGACCTGTTATTGAGTTGGTAGCATCCTCCATGGCGCTGGGAGACTGGGTGGAGGGGACAGGTGGTTTGTCCAGGCACACCACAAATATAGCACTGGCAATGGTTTCTATATTTGACTTGTTTGTTCGATCTGTGGGTGTTTTAAAGATACCAAATGCATGATTTTCAAAAAATATGGGGATATGTGACAGTTGCTGATTGATTGACTACAGATGCGGCGATGAAACACAAAAATGTGATCTCAAAGGCCAGATGTGATCAAAATAGTAAACAAAATGACATATCATCCTAAAATACTTTGACAGAAAATGACAGATGATTATTGACACTCTCGGGAAACTTATAATGGGTGGCCAGTAATGCTGAGATTTTCACCTGTATGAGGAATTGTGTGGATTGGAGACCAGATGTGCGTGCAGCTCAGAAGTAATCAAGTTGTGTAGGTATACTTATATTGTACCTTTACGCAAAAGTTTGCTTTGCACAGCCCAAGATGATCTGTCACTGCTAGTTAATACACCCACAGGATGCTCCGAGGGTTCATTACTTTCCACAATTCTCATCAACTGGGAAAGCAAATCGCCTTCACTCAATGGTCTTCCAGCAGTATCATACACATCAAAGACAAAAAACTGCAAAGAGAAAAACCACTGTAATCATACAGCTTTTTTTAGTAAATATGTCAGCGCCAACAGTTGAATGCTAACAGACATTATTTTGATGTTCTACTTTTGTTAATAACAAACCTCAGCTGAAAGGCTCCTCTCAAGACACCTCACCAAAACCCAAACAAAGTGGGGAAGTCTTGAAAGCATATAGAATATTTTATTGGCTATTAAAACAATTTTAGGAGCAAAACTCCCATCATGTTTTTTTGTACAAAATGGCTTCACAGCACATGTTATAGAATAAAGAAAAGTTATAGTGCTAGGAAGGAGGTCATTCCAGGACGAAGACCCTTGGAAATAAATTCGCTGCACACTGCCTATCGTGCTCATTATGCTTACCTGATTCCTGTGCGCTACTAGAATATGTCTTGACTTGTGCCTTGGTGCCTGGACAAACTCATCTCTATTAGGTCTGGGAACTCTGATGCCACTGAACAACATCTTGTATTGTATCATGTTCAATGGNTTATCAAACCATCTGTTCATGCTATTGGATCCCACTCCATCACCATGAAGGCTTTGTCGAGCTGTTATTGAGTTGGTAGCATCCTCCATGGCGCTGGGAGACTGGGTGGAGGGGACAGGTGGTTTGTCCAGGCACACCACAAATATAGCACTCGCAATGGTTTCTATATTTGACTTGTTTGTTCGATCTGTGGGTGATTTAAGATACAAAATGCATGACATTCAAAAAATATGGGGATATGTGACAGTTGCTGATTGATTGACTACAGATGCGGCGATGAAACGCAAAAATGTGATCTCAAAGGCCAAATGTGATCAAAATAGTAAACAAAATGACATATCATCGTAAAATACTTTGACAGAAAATGACAGATGATTATTGACACTCTCGCCAAACTTATAATGGGTGGCCAGTAATGCTGAGATTTTCACCTGTATGAGGAATTGTGTGGATTGGAAACCAGATGTGCGTGCAGCTCAGAAGTAATCAAGTTGTGTAGGTATACTTATATTGTACCTTTACGCAAAAGTTTGCTTTGCACAGCCCAAGATGATCTGTCACTGCTAGTTAATACACCCACAGGATGCTCCGAGGGTTCATTACTTTCCACTATTCTCATCAACTGGGACAGCAAATCGCCTTCACTCAATGGTCTTCCAGCAGTATCATACACATCAAAGACAAAAAACTGCAAAGAGAAAAATCCACTGTAATCATACAGCTTTTTTTTTAGTAAATATGTCAGCGCCAACAGTTGAATGCTAACAGACATTATTTTGATGTTCTACTTTTGTTAATAACAAACTTCAGCTGAAAGGCTCCTCTCAAGACACCTCACCAAAACCCAAACAAAGTGAGGAAGTCTTGAAAGCATATAGAGTATTTTATTGGCTATCAAAACAATTTTAGGAGCAAAACTCCCATCATGTTTTTTTGTACAAAATGGCTTCACAGCACATGTTATAGAAATAAAGGAAAGTTATAGTGCTAGGAAGGGAGGTCATTCCAGGAGAAAGACCCTTGGAAATAAATTCACTGCACATTGCCTATCGTGCTCATTATGCTTACCTGATTCCTGTGCGCTACTAGAATATGTCTCGACTTGTGCCTTGGTGCCTGGACAAACTCATCTCTATTAGGTCTGGGAACTCTGATGCCACTGAACAACATCTTGTATTGTATCATGTTCAATGGATCTTTGCCCATCATATCAACAGTAAGAGTCTCACTGAAAACATTCCAACAAGATTAGTGAGGTTTGCTGTCTTTTTTTACCATTTTGACAAAGTGACCATTCATTATTTATGGGTGATATTTTAGTAATGGCACTTTATTTTTCTGCAGACTTTCAATAAAATAGAAGAGAATCATTTTAGAACTTCTTGCATTAGTTAGAAATTTTTCAGGCAGCCTATCCCTGATTATTGCAAAATACTATGCAATGATGTCTGGTTAGTCAACCAGTTAACAAGAGAATTTGCCATCGTTATTATTTGCAGTTATTATTGCCATCTTAATAAGTCAGATTCTTTAGCTTCTTATCCAAACAGTAAACCAGACACTTTTTCCATGTAAGTCAATCAGTTAACTAGACATTAATGCCGTCAAAGTCAGTCAGTCATTCATACAGATTTTAATCTATATAATATTACATAGTCTCATACTTGTCAACTTCTTCCTTGAACTTCAAAACATTAGTGATGATTCTTGCTGCATATTTTAGATGGCTCAAATTATCGCTAAAAACTTCCTTGGGGAATGTGCATGCAGGACTGTAGTAGATTGGCAACGGTACTCTTTGCTCAAGATAWCCTAAATTGTTCCACCAGTCAATCAGCTTGAAGGCAAAAAACAAAATCATCAATGCATATACAAAGTTATGGTATGTCAAACACCAACTGTACTATATCTACTGGGCATTTAGTATGATGGAAACACACTAACTCCATGTTCTAATACATTAGTACATATTCCCACATATAATACACAGGTAACCCAGATACAAGATATGTAAACACTACACCAACCCATAGTTAGTAGCTATGGCCAACCTCAATTTTTTTTTCACACCAAATTCAAGTTCCTATTATTGTTCAACGATGTGAAAGTCATTGTTTTGAGCTCATTTGCATTCAGAGTGACCCATATGAAGTTTTCCTTAAACTTATTGGATTAAACCCTGACCCAATCATCAAGTGACCTAACTACTTATGTAAGGGAGTACTCCTCCCAAAACTGTTTGCCGTAAAATCAATTTGACATGTGATGACCATATGCTTCATCCTACCATGCAACAGACTGTACCTACCCAGTTGTCTTTCTTCCTTGCAAACCCTTCCAACTCTTTCTGCAACAATTCACCAATACCGCCAGGTTTTCTGAAATCCTTGACTATTTCTTGGGTATTGTTAAAGTCTTCCTTGTCCACTAGAGGTTCCACAGCCTTGAGGTACTTATCCATGGTTTGTTGTAGGGGTGGTACGGGTAGTTTGGGTAGATTGTTCTCCAATGCCAGCATGCTAATATGCCGGGGCATGACCTTGGCTGTYTTGGACAGTGTAAGCTTAGGCATTGTCGATGCAACCTATGACAATTGATTAAAGCTTATATTAACTTGGAATCCTTCTCTTACAGAGATAACAATACATGTAAAACAATAAAGCACAACTTGTAAATGTACTTGAATACTATCAAAAAACCTGAAGTCATAGCAATAAAAACTTCCACTAAATTCACTAAATGTAAAGAAAAGTTCTAGATATAGGGTTAAAGTAGTTAAATTTAACTTAAAATGACTGTCAGACGGAGSCAAACAACAACAAAGCTCACCTCTCGAAAACGTCTTGAAATCATGTACAAGCTACCAGAAGGTCTACAACGCAAAAACATGATTTTATACACACATTCGGTCTCCTACAGATGACCAAACTCCTCAAGGTTTTACGTTATCGTATTAATTACAATACTAGCTAATAAAAACATTGTGACACGGACCGCCATTTTGAATGACAAACCTTAGAATCCAGTCTCCAAGCTGCCAAATAGACTCGAACACTTCTCGAAGCAAGGCGCGCCTTTGGTATTACTTCGTATTATAAAGTGAGTTGTTATTAGATTTGCTTCGTTTTTATAAAAGCCTTGACCATAGAGAGTCAATTTTTTTAAGAAACGTGCGTCTAGTCGCGGTCCGCTACATTGGACTTTGATCCTTGAAAATCTATGCAAATGACCGAAATGATCCACGTCACAAGAGACAACAACAAACGCAAAACAGGACTGAGGTATTATGTTACACATTAATGTCTAATTGTCTACTGCATATCATTGTTTCTTTTTATTGTCTGGCYTTGTCTTTCTTCTTTGTTATTTCACCAAATCACAATTTTTGTCTAAAGCCGGCGAACCGACAGGACTCGGGCACAAGGGCAGGCGCATAACAAAACGTCCTTTACGCATATACGCACGTGTGTAGCAAGGGATTTTTACAAAAATTACTGAAAAATTCACATACAATTGATTCCTTTTATATGCGCTCGATGTCTTTCAAAACGCTAGAAATCGCATTTCCAAGAGTTATTATTTCAAAATTTCCTGGGGGAAGTCCAGACTCCCTTATAATACTCCCGTCTTTGGCTGTCGTTAGACCCCCAGATCCAAAATATGTGTTGCGGTCTCAGTTCGCTCTCTGTMAGAGTTTTTTTCGCTCACGGGTCCGACGCTAGTTTCGCGAAAAACCGAGGAGCGAAAACTACGACTTATGGAATCCGGTCTAATCCCAACATGACCTCCAGGRCTTTTGATTTCAAGCCAATCCCAACTCCCGCCAAATGAAACCACAGGGAGCCCAAGCACTTGAAATCTTATGTAAATTTTAAATCTGTAAATATCATGGAAATCAGATTTACAGAAAATTAACATAAAAACATACTACTTCATAACAACATCTTGACACCGATTGCAGTTTTTGAATAACAAATTGAACTTAAAATACAGTCTCCAATCTGACAAATAATATTTTCTCTCACGAATTCTCGACTGCGCGCAATCATTAAAATAGTGGTTAGAGTGCACGCAGTTATCAACTAGCATAGAATTCACCGAGTTTAAAATGAATGAGATGTGGAACTTTATAGATTGTCTACGAAAAACGTTTTAATTTAACGGAATATATTTTATATAAACGTGTCATCTCAATAATCAGGGTTTTTTGTTGCAAACGAGGGCATATTAAAATCATTTTTTTTTTTTGCAAATGAGTGTATTCCTTGAAGAACGTTTTAAGGAAGAGCGACCTAAGGATGTGGTACGGCCACTGGGAATACATGATGATGATGTGATGTATATTACCCTCATCGGATAAACGCGCGAAGCATTCAAATGAAATACTAATAAAACAATATTACTAATAACAGGACCTTGAACAGCTCTTTTGACATCAAGGAAGCCGTCTTACGGTATGGTCATAAAGCAAGCGATATGCTGCTGATGTGTTTATGGGACAGGCAATTTTGCAGCCCACTCAATTTTACCACTCGCTTTTCTCAACTTGTGAGTATTTCAGTTTTTAAGTTATACTTAATGCTTTAGTCAATTGAAACCATTAATCATTGAAAATCCCAGAGAAAGTGACATTCAAACAATGTTAAAAGGCTGACATTTGTAGTTTCTCAGAGGCAAAAAGGGGGCTAAATCGGATCTGATTCTTTTTAGTACGGCCTTTGTCACACATTCAATTCAGGACAAGATGGCCATCATCTGATGTACTCAATGTCTATCAAACGAAGCCGCGGTCTCCAGATGCTACTCCTCATTGAGAAGGACAAGTACTATGGTATTATGAGTTACATTAACACCGGAATTCGCATGACAGTTCACGATCAAGACGAGGAACCCATGGTAGAGGTCAATGGAGTTGATGTTATGCCAGGTCACATGACGACAATCAAAATCCAAAGGGAAGAAGTAAGATTGAAATTATACAATGCGTATATATTCATGAAAGTACAAACAATTTAGATTACTACAAATCCTTTAAAAAATTGTAGAGATTTTAATAATACATTCAAAGGGTCATGGTCCGCWCCAACCGTCAATGTGGTCGTGTTTTAGATTTTTCATTTAATCTATTGACCATATGAAAAAACGAGCAGAAGACTGGGAATGAGCACATTAAACGATCCATATTTTTAAACATCTGTTTTCACCATATGAATTAGGAGTATATTTCAACTAGTAAATTGGCAGAGTTTTAGTTTCAAATGTTAAATATCAGCAGAGTTACGAGCATTTGAAATGTAACAAAAACGTGAAAACGAGGCTGGTCAGGCCTCCATACTCATTTTCACTCAAACCTGTTGCAACTTCAAACACCTGTGATTTCTAGTCCTTACATGTTAGAGCATTGAAACTTTCAGATATTAGTCATTGTGATGTGTTCTTTCAACGGGTAGGAATG